CCAAATGGAAGCCCATCCAAGACCACACTTGTCTCAGCATGAGAGACTGCAAGCTCAGGGACTTCACCTCCATCTTTTGCACTGAAGAACTTAAATTTCAGAGGGAGAAAACAGGCACGGTTTTGTTTTATCTACTCACATCCACTTGTGGCTGAGGAGCGCTAAACCTACGTGGCCAGCACCATCCTGAAGCAGAGAGAGGCTGAGCTATTCATAGGCCAGCACGGCAGCTGGAGCTGGACTGCAGCAGACTCATGAGGTCACAGCTCCCCAGTGCCAGCTCGGCTGGGACAGTATGCAGGGAGTGAGGGAAAATGCATGTGGGAGAAGGGAGGCACGGCGGGGGCAGAAAGGGGACGGGATGTCAACTGCTAACATTTCATTCTCAGGTCTGCCAAGATCACGTTAGAGGTTTTGGTGCAGGACACAGACGTGGTACCTGTTCGTTCAGGGCTACTGACCAAAGCTGAGACAAACAGCCAGCAAGGAGCACAAATATTCCCTCTATGCCTTATTTATAGCAACCACAGCAAGCCTGGTGACCATCCATTCTAATAACCACACCTCTACCACCTCTTTCCTGTTAGCACATTCAGTTACAACCATTTGACACCTTGCCTTAACACAGGCACAGATCTTGCTAATGCTGGAGTCAGCTTCACACACCTCAGCGGCCTGACCAACTTGAATACAAAACTGCTTGCAACACCAGGGCCACTGCAACCAAAACATCAGCGTATCTGAATTAAGTGGCTGCTGCTGCAACCACAGTAGCCATTGGTATCTGAGCTGAGAGGAGCCAACAAGAGGCTTATTCTGGCTCTTATGCTTAGCGTGTTCTGTGGCTACTGTTTTGGTGATGGTTGAGAAGGCACTGCGAGCTTTATTGTACCAGACCTACAGCTTGTCCTGCTCATATTAGGGTGTTTAAGGCAGAGAAACAGAAGTGGAAAGCCAAGGAACAGTTTACCTCAGCATTGTCCAACCAGACCAGGCCAGTATCACAACACTGAGTGATGCTGAGGGATACCAATGTTATTATGAGGCATTGCACCATAGCAAGATTCACTCTGCTCCTTCTGTACCCTGCTCTGCACTACTCAGACACTGGCTTGGTGCCAAACCTGCACCAAACAGCCACGCTATGCCTCAGCATCTCTCTTCCCAGGGCAGCTGAAGCAGCACAGGCTCTGTTCCTGCATCCCCTGCATCCTACCTGACAGTTCTTCACAGCAAAGACATGCAGCAGAGCAAGACTTCCACGTGCATGTGGTCGGCACATATGGAAGGAAAGGGACACCATCAATGAAAGCCCGCAGACTGAGAGGAGGATGGACCCCAACTGCCATTTTAAGCAGCAGTCTTCAATACGGAGTGAAATCCCCGAGAGGTAACTCCTGTGGGCCCTCCCACTTATCCCTATCATCCGGGACGTGGCAAGGGGACATGCAGCACACCTCTTCGTTAGTGCTTACAGACATTGCTCCATTGGGAGAGCTAGCAGCATTACTTTGGGTGTTATAGAAGATCAAAATGATCATCACTTGTCACCAGCTCAGAAGCCCTCTAACACGGTGCAGTTAACAGACCCCGATGAAGGCACCATTCTCTTCCCAGGCTGATTTTGCCCCATGCCCCTGCTCAATGAAGAGCAGCAGTGACACGCAGTTAACTCTCAGAGCAGCAGTGACACGCAGTTAACTCTCAGAGCAAGAGAGGCTACTGCAGAGCCAAAGTCATCCAAGCACCAGTATCACAACCACCTCACATTCTAACTGCAGCGCATCGATGCTCCCAGCTCGAGGTGATGTACATAGTTCTTCCTGTGGAAACCAGGGTGCACTCCAAGCCCAGGCAGTCTCAGCCCAAGTCTCTGTGCAGCAGCAAGGCCAAAAGGAGCTGCCGGCTCCACCTCTGGGAGGAATTGCTGGAGGAATGTCCTCTTGGACACCATAGGCACCGGATTCCCACCCGTCTCCCTGGCGCAGGAGCTGCTTCCACAGCTGCACACCCAAATGGGCTCCGGGTGCCTCCCCTGCCCAGCAGCTGTACTGGCTATTTGAACCAGGGCCGAAGTACTTGCAGCCAGAGGGAAGCCTGCCTGAGCTCACACACACACCCCCAAAAGGGGAAGGTCTGTCTACATAGAAACTGAAGTTTGTGGCCTGCTACTGGCATTTTTCCTGCTATATATAACCTGGGGGGAAAAATAGGACTTGATAGATTTATTCTCAACCTACTTTAAACTCACAAGGATATGATGCATTATGTCATCAGTTGCTACATGTGATGCTGTGTGTGTTGTGAAGAAGCGAGCTAGAAATGAGTACTGGATGCTATGAACCCGAAAGCTTGCAACTCCTCTGCCAAACAGAAGTCTGTCACAAGTTGCTAAACACATAACCACGCCAAGTTACAGAGACCCACAGGCTGATTAAGTCAGTGTTTCAGGGCAATGAGCCTGCTGTACACCAGCTATGGACCAATAGGTCTTTAATCCTTGCTCTGCTATGGGCTTCCTGCATGGATTTGGAGTAGGTCACTGTTTACCCTCCATTTACCCTCTAACTCCTTGCCCCCCGAAATGAGATCTGTAGATTGTACCTATGCTTTGGCAGTATAAACACGCTGAAGACTGTGAACTGCTTAGATACCACAGTGCTCACACGCTGCCAAGTTGTGATAAAACAATACTATCAGGCCAGTATTTCACAGTACAACTATTTGGGGAGGAACAGAATTAGAGATGAAAGCACTGATGTGTGCTGGCACAGAAATCCCGACTCTGAATCCGAGCCGTACGGCAGTCTGTGCAAGCAGCAGGCATGCACCAAATGCAGCACGGTTTCCTCAACACAGAGAAGGCACCATCAGCTCAAGTCTTTTCTGCTCTTTACTACACGTATTGAAGCTTTAAAGAGAGCTTTCTGTTATCACACGCTCCCTGACAAAGCAGCTTTTAGCTGAATGGAATTGCTGGACTGGCATCTTCACACAGACTTCCGCCTTGGTTGTGCCGGATGTTGGGATGGGGCTCCCGTGGGCAGATGTCCACCAGTGCGCCAAACATGCTGGAGTGGGATGGAGATAACGGTAGAGATTTTATCAGTACCACGGGTCTGACTAAAACAGGAGCTTTGCCAAGGCCAGGTATATTTGTAACGGTAGCCTCATTAAAACACCCGACATGAGCTGAGGCTCCTCGGAATTAGGCCAGCAGGATCTGGTCCTGGGCACATCAGGAACTGCTCCGTGATTCAAACTTAAAGATTCCAGCTTCTCGGAATTTGGGGAAAGAAAAAAAAGAAAAAGGGAAGAAAAATCTTAGCCCAACTTTTTACACGTCTGGATATACTATTTCACACTGAAAAGACTTTCTTAGCCTAACAGGCAGGAATACCTTCACTTGACATTTGTTGTAAATGGGCCAGTTCAACCTGCTGGCTTTTGAGGAGGCCAAAAGTCACTCGGTTTTGTCCTCAGCACACTCAGGAAGAGGGGGGATACCACAAAGCCACCTTACTTATGGTTACACAGTGCTAGCAACACACACTCCCGTTAACAGCAACAAGCCAGCACAAGCAGTTTGAGACGGCACCCACCACCAAGCCATGCACGTGTGCAGTAGTGCTGGGGTGGCTTTCACATGTTCCAATGCTCTTTATGAAAAAAGAGATTAAAACAGTTGCATATTAACCAAACGCTTTCTATGCCGGGGCACTCAGTCCTCATTCTGTAACCTACTTAAGCAGTGTTTGACAAGCTGTGTTTTGAAGCAGTTACTACTGACAAACAGGGCTATGACAACAGTAAGAAATGCACTTGGCATAACTTTGACCAGTTTGTGTTTATGTCAGGGAGATGACAACCACGAATCCAGCTTGTTTGGGAAGTCTCAGCCTGGAAATAGGGCTGTTTGCTGTAATTCTCATGGAATTAACTTTATTGCTGATTTCAGGCCTAACCAAGGTATCAGGGGCTGGTTAAATGCTTCTTCCCTTACTCCAGGCTGTTTGCAGACCTAAAAGGCCTCACTCACTTAGGCAGCAGCTGTTTAATTAAGCACAGGAGTAACGTGGTTTAAAGAAATGGCTCCAGCCTATGCGAGTCCGGTGCCATCATGTTAACCAGTGGCTCTATACAAGAAGGAAGCGCGTCTGAGGTCATGTGAGAGCAGAACACATGCTCACGCTGCAAGGAGAAGTTCAAACAGAAGGGATACACAACTTTACCCAAACCCACGCAGCGTTTCTGCCCGAGCCCTGCACCTCCCAGGCACAAACTATTTCGTTTCCAACGAGGCATCTCCGGGCTCTCATTCTTGAACCCAGGGGCCCCGTGCCGCGCAAGTTAAGCTGAGTAACGGAGCCCTTTAGAAACTGCTACACCGGCGACCCCCCGAACACCAAGCAGCTTATCAGTCACTGAAGTAACTTAAGATACATGCAGACACGGCACCTTTCAAAACAGGCTGTAATGATCTCAACCTGAATCACTCCCACTGTCTGGCACAGCAAAAGAAACCGGGGTTATCTCAACGGCAGTGGCTGACAGTTACATGTTATGATTTTCTACCTCTAAACTGAACAACTCTCTTCGGCTATTGAAGAGCTGGGAAGTGCCAGCAAGGCGAGCGGCAGCACTCGGGGCTCTACCCGGCCTGACGCGTTGGAACAGCGAGTTCCCTCCTCCGAACGCCGGCACCGAGGCCGGGGGTGATGCCGGTCCCGGGCCGGTTGCGTCGCCTCCCCTAGCGCCAGCCGCTGGCCCCGGCCGCAGCCCCCCCGGAGCCGGGCACCCACCGCTAACAATAACGCGGGTGCCCGCCCTCGGAACACGGGGCTGGATCGATGGGTTTGTTCTAAACCCGGCTTGCATAAATCGCCAACCCCAGCCCCCAAGCCCGCACCTCCGCCTCTGAATCACCCAGCCCGGACCGCAGTAACTTCAGCGGGGGATGGCGGCGGGGCCGGGGGTCCGCGGCAGCGCTCGGCACTCACCTGTCCGGCGGTGTCGTACAGCCCCAGCAGGTACTGCTTGCCCCCGACGGTAACGCTGACTGCGAGGGGGGAGAAACACAGCGGGTGAGGGGGGCAAACCCCGGCCGAGTCGCACCGCCGCACCCGGCAGGGTAAGGCCGGAGACGGAGGAAGGGAGAGAGGGCGGCAGAGCCGCCGGCCCCCCCCCCCCGCGCCGCTCACCTGCGTAGTGGTCGAAGACGGTGGGCACGTACTCCTCGGGGAAGGCGTCGTTGGCGTAGCTCATCAGCAGGCACGTCTTGCCCACGGCGCCGTCCCCCACCACCACGCACTTGAGCATGACCGCCGCGCTGCCATGGGCCATGGCCGGACACCGCCCTCATGGCCCCGCGGGCGCGCCCCGCCGCGCAGGGCCCCCCGGCATCGGCACCGCCGCTCAGCGGGCGCCCCCGCCGGCCCCCGCCGGGCGCGGCCCCCCCGCCATCCGCCGCCGCGCTGGGCCCGGCGGGAGCCGCCTTCCCCCGGCCGCGCAGGGAGAGCGGGGCCGGCCGGAGGCGGGGAGCGGCCCCGCGCTCTGTTCGCGCTGGCGGCGGGGCCGCGCTGCGCGCTGAGCCCGCTGCCCGCAGACGCACGGAGCAGGAGCGCTCCGCGGATGCCCTGCGCGCAGCTCCTGCCCCGCCGAGGCAGCGGGAGGAGGGTTGATTCCGGGCTCGTTGCCCTCCCGTCCCGTCCCGTCCCGTCCCGTCCTGTCCTGTCCGCCCACCGTCGCCCTGTACGTACAACGGAAACTTCGGTCGCATCCTCCGGCGGTACCCCCGCGGTGAGTCCGTGAGTAAACAGCCGGCGCGGAGATGAAGGATGTTTCATTTTCTGAGCTCAGCTTATCGTATCTGGGTCTGAAATTCAGGAGGGGGCGTATGTTTAAGTGGTTTAAAGAGTCTTCGGCACTCATTTGAAAGGCAAAAGGACCAGAGGACGAGATCTAAAGCGTGAGTACTGCCTGAAAACCGGGTGACATCGTGCTCCCACTAATGTCAGTGGCAAACCCCCCACCATTCCGTGCAGGGGTTTCCAGCTTCACATTGTCAGATGGTGTGGAGCCTGTCAGACAGAACACAGTTGCCTTTCCTAGCCTGTATTTTTTGTGTGTTTAGGCTACAGATCACGACAAAAGGCAGCACGCAGCAGCGTGAGCCACGAGGAGACCTCTTTGTTGTGTGGTTTGTGTTTCTGTCCGACCTGACATGATTGAGGGGGAGAGTAAATGCAGACCCTACACTGCACAAACCTTACCCGAATATCCCATAAAACACGTCTTCAAATCAGGACAGAATAGAAAAGTTATTACTTTGCCTGTTTTTCAGCTTTAGTCAACCAAACTTTCATGCCTTCAGACCACAGAGGGGGAAAGCGGGACATCCAAGGCTGTTCTGTGATTTCCTACTGATTCATCCCGAGAGCATCCACCCAGACTCATGAGCAGACAGAGGCTGCCCCAGGAGGTATCTCCTCAGCCCTTTGGAAGGCACCAGCTCTAGAAGAAAGCTGATTTACCAAGAAATCGTCTGGCAGCCAGCACAGGGCTTGGTGCACAGGTCTCCCAGAGAGCAACTTCTCCTCATGAGCAGGTCTGTGCTGCATGAGCAGCTATTTCAGGGAGGGGAGTTTGGGACTAGATACAGGAGAACTGCTTTACAGCATCCTTACTGATGCTACCTGAGGTTAGAAGTTCCCAGGTACCCCGTGGGAGTTGAAAGCATGCATATGTTCACTGGCCCAGGTTATCCACTCACCTTTCGTAGAATCCCAGACTGGTTTGGGTTGGAAGGGACCTTAAAGCTCATCCAGTTCCAACCCCCTAGCATGGGCAGGGGCACCTTGCACTAGAGCAGGTTGCTCCAAGCCCTGTCCAACCTGGCTTTGAGCACTGCCAGGGATGGGGCAGCCACAGATTTTTTTTGGCAACCCACCAATTACACATTGAGGAGCACCCAACACCTGCATCCCTGGAGAGCAGCGTCCCAGGCCATCGCCTGCGCAGTCAATGGGAATTACTTCCTCCGGTCTGCTGCTTGCTTAATTGCTAGCACTGCTTCTCCAATCCTGTAATCATCATTTTGAACTTGCACAATCTCAGCCAAATGCTTCTCATCCAGTTTCTCTCAGACAATAGATGGCCAATTAGTCTGCAGTAAGTATTTAGACTGAATGAAGATGGGGAACTGGTAAACTGAAACAGTCGCCTGGCTGATTGCACAGCCACAGGGAATCACGTAGCTGCGGGACCTCGTAGAACCTCACAAAAGCCCCACAGCTCCATGGAATCACCCACAGGGGCTCAGCACTCTTAAGCCACAGTGTATTTCTTACTGCCTGTTTTCACCCTTTGCAGATGTTGTTTTCCAGCAGGCACCCCCAGCAGTGTGATAAGGAGTGGTGTAAGGAGTGATACGGTCACCGGGTGGTCCTGGAAACTGATTTCTTCTCTTGAACTCTTCTGCATTTCAGCAGCTCCCTACGAATGTGTTAGAGGCTCTGCTGGCATCAACTGACATGGCTCAGCGGAGGAAATCAACTCAGCTGTATCTTGGCACAATGAATACCTTACCAGGAATCACATCTATCTTTCAGGTAGATGAACAAGCTGTTCTGTGTAATACACTTCCATTTGTCGGCAGGGCAAATGTAAAGTGTTAAAATAATTACCTACCTATGACAAATATAATTGTAAATATCTTTATTAAAGACACTAAATTGAACCATTTTTCTCTAACTTCTTCTATAGGGTAGTAAAATAAACCAGTATGAAATGTTAAAAGGAAACTTTTCAGCTTAGTGATGTTTAAAATGTATTTTTAGTTCCCATTGCTTACTATAAAGTTGTCACAAAATGAAAACCAGCTTAATCTAATTTACACACAAAACTAATTCCTAAGAGCAGTTTGTGACTATTTCTAGCTTATGCACTGAACAGTGACTTTAGTATCACATATGAGTGCTAAACAGTCCTTTTTTCTTAGGAAGTTCTTCCCTGTGGGGGTGCTGAGACGCTGGAAGAGGTTACGGACCGGGCTTGGAGCAACCTGCTCTAGTGGAAGATGTCCCTACCCATGGCAGGGGGTTGGAACTGGATGATATTTAAGGTCCCTTCCAACCCAAGCCGTTCAATGGTTCTCTGATAGGAGGCTCAGCACTCACAGTAATGCAGCTGGACTGCCCTTAGAAATAAGCTCTGTTCCAGATAATTGAGGTCAGTAATGGAGCAAAGCATGTCTAATGAATGGTGGGCACAAGTAGGACACAAATGTAGTGAAACCCCGCAGATGACCATGCAGCTAGACAACAGAAGATAAACATTTCTGGGAAGCAGTTTCTGGGGTAGACAGGCTTCTGAAAGTGAGAGCAGGACCATGAAGTAGAATCCCAAAGTCCTTTATCTGAGTTACCAGCCATGGGAAAATAGAAGGGAAAATGATGGAGCCAGGCTTCAGTAAGCACCAAAAGACCTGTTTGGTCTATGGAACAAGGGAAGAAGTGTTGTTAATCATCTAAATTCAGCACATTTTAAGAAGATAAATCTGTCCATGTCAGTTACTAACATGTCTCTGAGGTTAAGTTTACACAATGTGGTTATTTTCATCAGGTGTGCTGCTCTGTGTTGTGACTACACTCCGGTGTTTCATTCTCCAAATCCTCTTGATCACCCTACCAAATAAGTGGGTCACTTTGTCACCGGACTGATGTGCACTGCTAGAGAGTGGCCATGCATCTAACTACAGCGGTGGACATCTTCCCATGTTGGGTGAAATAGCTTCATGGCAATAGCCAATATTTGAAGAAACACCCCTAAAAATGCCATGTCCCAGGCAAAGGTCAAAGCGATGAGTGAAAAACACTCAAATTAGTCCCACAAAGCCCATCAGAGGATTCCTTTTTTAGGCATCCATGTTTGTGGAAGATTGGAGCCATGGCTTATGATTTTCTGAAACAACTTTTAGACTTGGGAGGCATATTGAGTCTTTAGGAAAGTCAAAGAGAAGGGCAATGTCATCTGAATGCCCTGTTTGCAGCATATTGTCTTTCAGACCAATCAATCTCTTGTGAGTACAAGAGCAGAGCTGTCCCCAAGCAGCAGAAGGTAACACTCGAATGGACACAATGGAAGCCTGCTTTCAGTCAGAATGATTTACTGTTGTCACAAATGGTGAGAACACCATTTTTACAACCAAATCTGATGGTTACAGTTTTGCTTCTCTGCCCGAGATTATGTAAGGCAGAGAATGTTTCTGTATCCCAGCTAACGTAAAGGAAACAAATCAAACATTTCTAATGTGCCAGAAATGGATAGGCAGTTCAATAGCTGCAGATCCAATTCCTTCTGATTGTCAGTTTCTACTCTATCCCCAGATTTTGTTTAATCATTTAAAAGAGCACTGGTACCAATTTCCTCCCAGTTTAAAGGGTTCTGGCTGCTTGCTTACTTCCCCCATAATGTGTTTCACGAGCACAGTGATGTCTCCAAGCAAAGGCAAACAGTATATGAAATCAGAATAAACCAGGATGACCCATTTTAGGTCATCTGCTGTAGTCTTCTGATTGCGAGAGCAATTACTGTACCTGTAGTGGTTCTTTCCTTGGAATGGGGCTGAACGTTGTCAGCAGGTGAAGCATCACTTGTTCTCTTCAGGGAGCAACCTAGTATGGTCTGCTATACACGAAGCTCCCGCACAGGTCTCTTGAACTGCCTCATCTTATTCTGTTAATGCTGTTATAGCTTGTGGCCCTTTATTAACCACCCTAAACAATCTCCTTCCTTTTCACATGGATGTAACTTGAGATGGGAGTGTTTTGTTGGCCGAAGCAAAACCCTGGCCCCAGGACCAAAACTGGAGCCCATTGCTGAGAATGAGGGACACTGTTTTTAAAACAAGGCTGGCACTAGCCACTGGGAAGTGTCACAATCACTCCTCTGGGTGCTGCTTCTTAATACCTGCAGTGCAGGAGCATTAAAGATGGTCACAGAAAACACACCAGTGGGCCCATTGGCTCTGAAAAGGCAGCTGCTTTGGGGTGATTACTTTTTGAATTCATGTGAATTCCATGAAAATGTTTTCAAAAAAGCAAAAAGCCCAAAAGTTCTGGAAGCTTCCAAGCATCCAGGGTTTTTATATTTTTAGAGTAAAACATTTTAATTTCTAAATCCCTCTGGTTTCAATTTAAGTTCGCCTAATGTTAGAGTACAGCGTTACATAAACTAAAAGATGGTAGCCTCAAACATTTCAGTTCGCTTCGTTTTTCTGTTAGAATTGTTTTGTCCGGTTGATTTTTTTTTAAGGAATTTCAAAGTGTTCAGGTTGCATTCCTGATCAGAAATCCCTAAAACGATCATGAAAGTGAAGTGTTATCCTCTGCACAGCTGATGCACTCCCTCATGCTCATGGCATGCTCAAGTGCCTTCAGAGAGCATGTTCCCTTCTTACTCAGAGTACCTTTTTTAACTTGAAATCTCTTTGACAGTGTTTTCATTAAGGAAGTGCCCAGTTTCCAACATCATGGCCCAAGGATAACCAAGTGCTCAACAGGGAGCTGTGATTCATTTAGAATACATCACATTTTGCAACAATGCTATATTGCCACACTATCATTAATAATTATTCTAGTGTATCACAATGGAGTCTCATGTCCTTAACTGTTTGATTTGAATAGGAACTGCTCAATTACAGAGTGCAAAACAGTTTCTCTCCTGTGAATGACTACAAAGGAGAGCAAATGAGTGAAGTCAGGGTTAAAAGTGACAGGATCAGGCTGATACAAGCCATGGGTACATGCTGTGCTTTGCAGGTTTCTCTGCCCTAAGGAATAGCTGTGAGTTTGATTGGTTTTCCCAAAATCCATTTCTTAAGATCTTACCTAATCTTTCTCTTGATTTCTCCAGGTTTATCTATCTCATGCTGACACCTGTAATGCCTCTCAAACTAGTATTTGCTGATGAATTCATGAGCATACTATTTAGCAGCTCCTCTTCGGAAAGTAAGGAAGAAATCAAATATAACACTATTGCACTACAGCTGGAAAAGAAGATTCCTTAGGGAGACAGGAAGGAAAAAAGAAAGGGAAAGCCAAAGCAGGGAGAAGGACGCTGCACGAAATAGAAGGAGACAGAAGAATGAGAAAACTGCCTTTGATGAAGGCTGGATTTGGGTTTGAATTTTCATGTAGTCTGGACTTCTTTCATCAGCTTCTTTGAAGCTGATTCTTGATCTGCTTGATGGAGAGAAGGAAACCCCTAAACTTCATTCATTTGTAAAGCCAAATGCTGAAACAAACTTCTTTCTTGATTTGAGGACATTCCACTCAGGGAAATAGAGCCATTTTTAAACCCATGTCAGTAATCAGCTTCCTAGTGAAGTAAAGTCTAGTGTTATGGGAGGGAAAGAATGGTGATGGATGGGATACTGGGAAACACAGGGGGATAGCAGAGAACAGAAGTGAATGTGGGGAGCCCTGCAGCGCACACACACACACACACACACACACACACACACCACTCACTCACACTGTAGGACCTGAACCCACCCTGCACAAGGAAGAAAAGGGTAAGTCCTTCTTTGGCTGTCCTCTTCAGTACATTGTCTGTAATCCGGGATGTGGGGAATGCTGGAAGGGATTCAAAACCAGACCTGAGGACAGAAATCCAGACCTGGGGAATCTAGCATCTGCAGGGGAGGATGGGCTGTAAGCAGCTTGCTGTGAAGCATGAGAAACTCCTTAAGTGCTAATAGCTTCTAAAAAGCTAATGGCTTCACAGGGCTGGAAGAGAAGAGTGTGCTTGACATTTTCTCAGGCAGGGTTATGGATGTCCTGATAGGAAGTGAAGAGCAGGGAGAAGAGGACAGACCCATCATTTTGTTCTCAGGCATTTCTTGTAATTGACATAGAACCATAATTTCTGAGGATTCTCTCATCTCACTCTTGATAACTTCATCTTCCAAATGCTTCAGTGAGTGGTGACAACCCCCTTCCACAAAACAATGGAGAATGCAGGGCTTCAGAGTCACAGGGCTCCCTTCATTTCAGTAGTGCTGTTGTTGCAGTAGTAACTACAAGCACTTAAGGAACTTCTAAGATCTACAGAAAAAACATCCCTATTGAAAACATTACTTTGCTGAAAAGATTTGCTAACATATGGTTAAGATTGCTCACTTGCTTCCTGAAAGTTGAGCTCAGCATAATTCAAACCACTGAGAAACCAGGAAATACAGGGGAGAATGAAGCAATATTAACTCCAACCTTTATAGCAATGCCTCTATATGTCTGTACTGGAAATAATTCACCTTTTCAGTGAGTGTCTTTCAGAGAACATAGTATGGAAGCACTACAGACAGGCACATATTCTCTATGGAAAAGTGGGCTGCATTTACAGTGATGCTTCCTTTACATGCATACTCTCACCCAATTTCCTAGAAACAATTCCATAATAAGTAAACGGTATCTTTCCCACTACTCACCAATATTTAGTCATAGATATATGTTATTAAGACCACTGAATATTTTCCCTACTTCACTTTGCACAAGTGCCAGTGGCTAAAACATGTCTCCCAGCACTGATTCAATGCACAGAATGCAGTGATGAAAAGAGGTATGCAGCTATCTCAGGGTATATGAATACAAAAATATATATGTATCTATACTGGGGGCTGTGGGGCTGAGGTCCCACCTGAGAGGTATGGCCTCCCATCTTCCTTACGGTCATAGTTTACTGAAGTCTTGTACCATTTGACAGAACAATACTCAGAACTGCAGTTCCCTCTTCCTATTGCCAGCTCTCCCGAGGGAAAAATAAAGGTTGCCTGAATGTTGCTACTGTATTTCCTGGCTTCCAAAAGTCTGAATTTTGCTGAAGCCAGTATTTTATATGGGCTCAGCCACTGCCAGGAAATCCCAACTCTGCATTAATTAAGGGGTTTTGTCAGTCAGTAACAAGGAAAGATGCTTTAAGGACCTGAAATTCACTCTTTCCTCGATCATCAAAATATGGCTTGAGAAAGCATCTTTGCTATGTGCTGGTTCAGGATGAGTTAAAAACCCTGACGTTAGCGGAGTCCTGAAGTTTTTAGTAAGGACCAGATGCATGAGGGAATGGTAGGTGCTTTGTTTCGCTGGGGTATTGGGATGGTTTGGTTTTGAATATTTTCCTGCTGACTGGCTCGATGGGATTCACCACTGGTTTGCTGTTTTCTGTTTTCCTTTCCCAGTTTCTGTTTTTAATGGCAGTCGGGAAGCACTGAGACAAGGATGAGCAGGCTACTTAAGCAGGTATATATAAAGAAACCAGCTGTTTAAAATGTGTATGTAACTGTTGGAAGCTGCAGACACTGCATCAGTTTTTCAGCAGAGCTCAGCTCATATTGTTTGGGGGGAAAAAAAAAGGTAGTTATCCCAAAATACTCAGTGCATCTCACTGGCACATTTTACAACTGGATTTTCAGGAGTACCCGAGTGGGCTTTTTGTGTGGTACATGACTACCTTTTAAAACTCTGATCCCAGATGCATATGCATGAAAGACAGAGTGAAGCTGAAGTTTTGACCTAGGATTACAGGCAATCTAACCCTTTAGTCCACGATCTGCCAAAACTCAGCCATGAACTCATCACTTGCTTTTCAGTTCTACATCTCTAAAATAGGATGGAAGTGCTGTGGACATCAGTAATGTTGACAGGATAATAGGGGTGAAGGATCAGTGGTGTCAGTGGAAATAGGGGATGCACACCTCACCTCCATCACCTGTAAACCACAGCTGTCTCTTAAAGGTGGCTGCAACCTTCCTAACCTTCCAGTTCCATATCCTGAAAACCCTCCTCCTAGGATGGCTGGGAAAAGCTGTGGTAATGAGGGCAAAGAAAAGTTATTTTTAAGGTCAATTCAAGCAATAGAAGTTTTAAAGGATAACACGAAGAAAGGTTTTCAATTGGAAAACTGGTATCATGCCAACTCCGGAATGACAAATCACCTCCGCAGTTCACCTATTCGTGAATATGCATGGAGTGCACTGCTACCAAATTCACTGCTCCTTACACCCATTAAACCATCATGGGAAAGTGGCAGTTGATGCTGCACAATAGCAAGAGCTCAAGGAGATAAAACGGATGTAGGCTTTACCTTATAGTAATAGGCTTTGACAAGGATTCGGTGGCGGCATGAGTCAGCCCAGTCGCATCAGCTTCTGCGATGTCTGAATTTGGTCAGTGGGTAAATCCAAACAAAGCAGGCCTTGCTTTAGAAATAAATTTGACATGGCCTTTGTGCTGTTGAGCAGTGCAAGAGAGGAACAAAAGGATTTCAGGCACAGACAACTCCAACGTTCCCCTGAGCGAGATTTCTGTGGCAACCAGTGATTAAGTGTGATTGGAGCCAGGCAAAATATTTTCAGAGTGCCGTTTCTTCCCGTGTCAAAATGGGCTTGGTTTTTGAATTCACAAATCCTTAAAGGCAACTGGACTTCTTCTCACGTGTCCCAGTTTGTGCCCCTTCCTTTCCCGGGAACACATAATACGATCATTGATTCACTGGAATGACTGCCAAAATGCTGAGAGTAATGGTCGTAAATCTTTTCAGTTTTGGGTGTGATGAGTTGTTCTAGATCTGTCTGTTGGTTTCAGACAAATCCCAGTTCCCGTGCTGGTCATCCTGCTTCACATTATCCGAAAAGCCAGTGGAAAATTCTGCTTAACGTTTTCAGACAGGGAACTGCACTCTGTGTTGTCCTCTAAGTGCAAAAGATGAAGAAGTTGCTGCTTCCTGTGTGTGGATCTCTAGTATCTTACTGACCACGAGAAACCCAAAGAGCCAGACAGGAACTCAGAACATACGCATTGGCAGAAATAACAGTGCATAGTAAAGACACCAGAGGAATGTAATGTAGGCCACCTTCCCCTAAGATAGTAACGCTGCATAGTTAAGAACGACCTTACAGAGTACTCCAAAAGCATAGACAACTTTGACCGAGTTAATAACCTCAAGTCCCTTCCTGGCAGTAGAGCTCGGTGTAACATAGTTAGGTGGCAGTCAGTTTTGTGCATTGGTGCCGCATTAACACCACAAGGACTGCAAAATGGTATCTTCACTAATTTATTTCTCTTGTTGACACAGTGATTCAGTAGTTTGTTACATTGTGCACTTCTCAAATGGTGATCTGCACTAACCAAAACCCTGCAATCTCTTTCGCATCACCTGTACAAACACAGACTCACCCCCAGACAGCTCCGCTCCCAGGTTAGGGGCCTGATGCAGCCATCCTTTCAAAGGAGGATGGAAAAGAGTTAAGTGCAAAAAGCACTAGCAGAACCACAAGAGGAGCGCTTATGCTAATGGAAGCTTTTATGCAAGTGCCCTGCCACCTGTCTGACTGACTGCGGGGTGCCAGCCTTTGTTCTCTGCTGGGGTATGCCTAGGAACATTTTAATGGGAAGTGGCCTGGTTTTTAAAGAGCCATCATAATGAGGGAGTATTCTGTTTAAAAACAAACCAAACCAAACGCACCCATGCTGCAGAATACCCATGCAAAGGGAACAAAGCATTTCCAGATGTGACTCTCTATGTGTGTGTTTTCATAGCAAGGTCTTCTTTTCAAGAACCATATCTTTCTACCATACTGTTTCTATGAAGAACCTGGAGAGGTTTATTCCTCCTCTAAATCCGTGCTCCGGAGTCGTAATTTCATAAGTGCTGACTTAGTTTGATTATGTTCAAATTTTCACCCTCCTGATTGTGAAGGAAAGGTGAACTGTGATGTTTTAAACACTAGAGTCATCTTCAGCAGGTATAGGGATGCAAGTCAGGGATCTGACTCTCAGTTGCTGATTGTTGGCATTAGCAGTACTACTAGGCTTAAAAACATTGGCCTAATGCTCATATAAGGGTTTGAGCAGGATATTTTCTTCTATTCTTCCTTCCCCATTCCTTATACTAGTACCAAATTACATATATTGCTTCAGATTTACCAACATTTCCCAATCTGGATTAATTTACATTTGGAGAGAGGGTGTGAATTAAACTGTTATAAAAGGCTTAGATGCAGTGCCAACTTGTTACTATGCTCTTTCAAGCATCAAATGCTTTTTCTATTAAGGAAGCTCTCACAGAATTTCTCGCATCTGGAAATCTCTCTCATTGCACAGCTTATTTATCAGAACCAAAAGAAAACATCCACAAGGACACTCATAATAGTACAACTCTTGGAGACCTTGCTGCAGTTGGAGGCCTTGTATTATGGCCTACAGTAAGACGTTGCCTTCTTGGAGGAGGTTTCAGTGTAAGAAAAATCTGCCACAGGGATGCAGAACGCAAGAGGAGAGTAAGGACCAACAAGGAGAAAAGCAAAGGACAGAAGAGTGCCCACCAAACTTACAGCTGATGCAGTCAGAACTCACAGCCTGCAGCCTGAATTGTGCTTAACAGTCCAAAGTGAGAAGATGATGAGCCTGACACCACTTCTTAATCCATTAAATACTGTGACGATGACTTCAGCTTCCATGCTATGTTTTACATGACACCTAATAGACAGCTATACCTAGGAGAGAATATGAAGCCCTTCCTTGTTTTCTGCTGGGTTTCTCCTTGAATTTTCTCATATATCAAGTGTCTACAGACATACGATTCTGTTTTCTGCCAAGGGATATGATGTAATTGTTGGTTGCAAACCTCACATTCAAACACATTCTAATTGAAACACTAAAGCAGTGGATGAGGCCGATTCAAATCTGGCTATGTAGAGGATGGTCTCATTCTTGCTGTTATTGATACTTGTATCAGAGCCATGTCAGTCGCTAAGGATTTTGCTAGCAAATCATATTCAAGGCCCCTTTTTAAGTTCTTCCTGCCAGCATTCACAGAAATCTATCCCTTATATATTATCTTAATCAGTCTCTGCTGATTTTTGTAGGCTCTGTAAAAATTGCTCAGTGATCACAGATTTCCCAGTGATTGCAATTTCCGTCCTGAAGCATTATTGGCCAACACATCCTAGCACTTTAGTATATTCATCTACTTGGGATCTTTAGCCTGTCCTAACCTTCAGCTCACTGCCACCAGGGTAAGCACACTCCTCCAAGCTAGAGAATACAGGAAGGAGCTTAGAAGCAAGTTCTTTTGTTTCTCTCCAATGGGCCTGCAGAAGCGGAAGGGACCCAGAACTTTGAGGGTAATTGTTGGTGATTTATTTTTCTCCTTTGTTCATCCTTCCCAATCAACAACTACGAGAGCCTTAAAAGTTCTGCATTCCTCCCTTACCACATTTCTTCTGTCATTCTCTCTTTACCAGATTTCTTCTGTCCTTCAGGGCTATGTGATTGATGTTGTGGGGTAGCTACAGAGTACGTACCCATCTCCCACATCACCGGTACCAGCATCAGTGAGCCTAATGCTGTCAGCAAAGATCCTAGTCTCTCTCCCTACCAGTTTAATAGCTTCCCTACTTTTCTCTCTGACTCTCTGCTGTGTGGTGAGAGAGTCATGTATATGCATCAGCTTATAACTCATCAAATGTGACCAATAGTTTTATGGTGCTTAATGCATGAGCTAAATGTGAACTGATGTGAACTGAAATGTAAGGAAATCACCAGGCAGCAGGTTTTAAACAAACAGAAAACAATTGCTTTAATATGGTGCTTAATACTGTTGTGGGATTCAGTTGTTGTGGCAGCAAAAACGGGCTTTAAAAAGATTGGGAAGATTTGTGAAGGATGATTCCATCCTTACCTATTAAATGTGATGATCCAAACGCATCCTCTGACTCAGGAAACCACACAACTTTGCCAAAAGGTGCCTCATTGTTCTAGGAGAAGAAAGTCTTCAGAGAGAAACATTCTGTGAGCACCAACCTTGGCCCCTGTTGATGGTAAGATGTTGAGTTAGCTGACCTTTGGTATGAATGAACGCTGTTATATTTTTCCTTAAAGGTCTGCATTTAGCTAATAAATCTTTTATACTGAGTAATCGTGTGTCATACAGGGGCTCATCTACAAGGACTTGTGCAGTTCTGCTGAATTTACTACCTGCAACCAACAGGATATTGCTGGACCATATGCAATTAAATATATATATGGATCTAATAGTTGGGGGTTACCTAGCATACAGACAGTACCCATTCTTCTCTGCCATGGATCACCAAATAAAAATAGAAACTCATAAACAATGGGAATCTGTACACACTGTGCTTGCAATGCTTCTGAGTCTGCAGTACGGAATGCAGGCTACAGAGAGAGAGAAAACACTGGTGTGCTGCTGCACCTCCTGACGTAACTCCCAGCAGAACTGACTATTCTCATAGCCATAAAACAGGCACTGAAAAGCAAAATCCTACTTTATCCAGTGATTGCATATCCTATGCAGCCACACTGCAGCTGAGGTGAGGCTCATGCAGTCGGTTTGGAAAGAGAGTCTCAAACACCAGCTCCTCTGAGCAAGAGGCTGCGTTCACTCCTGCTCAGCCTGGCAGGCTCGGAGCAATCCTGGAACACAGAGGTTAAATTTCCCACTCCAAACAATCCCACCCAAGTGACGGCCCTGAAGCTTTTGACGGGGAAAGGATTTGATTAGAATGTGATTTTCATGGTGCATTGCAATATTCGGTGTAAGAGACCACAATGTATGCTTTGTAATTCACGGTCCGCGTTTGCTTAGTCAACTTTTCAGATGATCCCTACGTACAGAAAGGGTGAAGGCACCAGAGGCAGAGGAGAGGCTTTGCTGAGCAGGTTTGAATGTCATAAATGCACAGTTATGGCTTAGTAATTGTATCGCAGTTGACAGATGCTGCAGCAGTCACATGATTAGAACATAACCTCATCTTTCGGCTTTCTCCCCTCCTCCCCCTGCGATGAGGGCAGTGCTGGCACTAAATAAGCAGAAGGCATTTCCAGAAGGCTAGTTTGTAAGTTACTTAAAGGAGAAGCCTGAATTTGGACACAGAGATGTACTTTGCACCGACTATTAAGCAGCTGCTCAACAGCGGCAGTGAAGCAAAACTCTCTTTTGCCACATGGGAAGCACTCTACAGTTGCTATTAGGGTAAAAATACTGAATCCCAAGTCATATGGGCTCAGATCATCCCTTCCCAAGGAAAAATCTGCAGGAGGGAAGACATGCCTCCGTGACCCGTTCACAGCATTACCCTGCACACAATGGGGCGGCTGCAAGCTCAGATGTCCTCCAGGGATCTGTGAGAGGATGCTGCAGCAATGAGGAGGCCTTCTCTGCCCTGCCACTGCCCCAGAAGTGACTCTGGATGCTCTGGCAGGGTGATTTCACAGAAGGATGGAACAGCCTGGAATGATACATAATTTCCTGGAGATTTTCCAGGGGTACTGAGTGTCCTCCTAAGCCTGTCCACTCCTTTATGAATAGGTTTTGGGTCATGCAAGTCCCAGGAGGGTCCTGGGAGGAAGGCATGGGATACAAGGAGGAAATTCTTTCCTGTTAGGGTGGTGAGGCACTGGAATGGGTTGCCCAGGGAGGCTGTGAATGCTCCATCCCTGGCGGTGTTCAAGGCCAGGTTGGAGGAGGCCTTAGGTGATATGGTTTAGTGTGAGGTGTCCCTGCCCATGGCAGGGGGGTTGGAACTTGATGATCTTAAGGTCCTTTCCAAACCTAACTATTCTGTGATTCTATGATGCTCTCTCAACAGCCGAACACCTTTTTGGCCTGCAGGGGAACCCCACATTGGAAGTATATAAAGGTGCAATCAGCCCCATGGGGATCATTTCCTATCACAGCACTGTTACTCAGGGACCGAAGCTGAGGCTGGCTGAGAGTTAAAAGCCCTGAATTAAAATCCCAGCTTTGGCACTGACCCCCACGGCAAGTTATGCCGTGCATGAAATGACAATAGCAGCTACTTGCTGAGTTATGCTAATGGAAAGTGTTCTGAAAGTGCAGAGGTTTCTGTATTATGTAGTTTTCTCAGTAATGCATCTGCAATTTGCACCTATTCATAGACTACAGACCTGAAACTTATCAATACAGCTTCAGTGCTGTTCAAAAGATAAGAATTTTCTGTACATCTCTAGATCTTCTTTCCTTTTGTCTGATGTTGTTTATCTCCTCTTTGGGTTGAAATGTGGCACAGTTATTCTAATCTACCAATTGCAGTGGTAATGCTTTGGAGCAGGAAGATCCCAGTTACCCTCATGAATGCTGACAGTGTATCAGAACAGGATGGGATTTCTGGTTGCAGTCGTGTTTGGATTTCAGCACCCCGAAAGCCCTTGCTTGAAAAGCTCTGACTGGTTACAGCATCCATTGCTTCGATTATCCCAAAAGAGCATTCCCAAAAAAGCCAGCAGCTCAGTGGCCTGCTGCCTGTGCCCTGCTTTGTCAATGACTTTGCTAAAGACCTTCATAAGATTATTTAGCTTCTCAAATAAAATGAAAGCTGAAAACCTGGGGACAAGAAGAGCTCTGTACGTATGAGTTAGGTGTTTAAGCGACCATAAGCAAGGGTCTTCTAGTCCTTTGGTGCACGGCCGCCTGGCTGCATCCCCGGCAAGCACAGTGCCTCACTTGAGCGGGGTTCAGGCTCTGCACATCACCGCAGTGTTTTGGCTTTGCTTCCTTTGTCCTTTCCCCCTTCCTAAACCTCTAAGGAAGAAAACCGGCTTGTTTCTTGCTGCGTTCTGAGCCGGGTCCGTGACTGACAGACGCCGACGGAGAGGCGCTGGGCACGAGGGCAGGTGGGAGGCCGCGTTCGGCTTTGAGTTCTGTCTAGGACCTGAAAAGCAGCTGCAGTCACTGCATGTGCGCACCCCAAGGAGCTGCCCTGCGGCGGGGCCCACACAACCCTCACCACAGCCATGGCGCTGCCGGAGACCCAGGCTTTCACATCCGAGGCCTCTCAGGCAGCACTTCCAGTCGGGAGGCCTCGCCGCGGCAGAGGGGAAGCCTGCCCGTGTTAAAATGAGCAGGCTTAGCAACACTGCGGGGGTCAGCCCCGCTCCTGCTGCCCCTGGTGCGCCCCTGCAGGGGCAGCCATGTTGGGCGCCACCGGCACGGCGCCATTTTGTCATCCCTGAAGGCTGCCGCCAGGAGATGGCGGGAGGGACGGGGCGTCCCAATGAGGAAACCACGGCGGCAGCAAAGGACCGCGGCACACACTGCAACACGCCGGCTGCTGAACAGGTAAAATAGTATGGGGATAAATATCACAGGATGGTTTGGGTTGGAAGGGGCCTTAAAGCTCATCCAGTTCCAACCCCCTGCCACACACAGGGACACCTTCCACTAGAGCAGGTTGCTCCAAGCCCCATCCAACCTGGCCTTGAACACTGCCAGGGATGGGGCAGCCACAGCTGCTCTGAGCATTATTCCTGTTCAGGGTGAGCTTCCACCTAACTCCTGAGCACACATGGCTGAAATGTAGCTCCCAGCATTCCACCGGGATTTAAAAGGCTCAGGCACCTTTCTTCACCTAGATCCTGACCTGTTACAATGTGTTCTCTGGTAAAATGCTGAGTTCCAAGTGAATATTTGGGGAAACCCTGTTGACCAGCTCCATCATTCCTCATGTGGTGGCAGTGGTCAGTGGTGACCCCTGAGGCTGCTTGTGGAAGCTGATTTACCCCTGGGTTTGAATGCACCACCAGAGAGCAGGCATGGAGCAGCCCAGGTAACACCGGAGAGAAAGCTCCCGCACTGAAGGCTAACACAGCCCTTGGAGCTGGATTTGAACGGAATGAGACTGGCTGGGAGGAGGGGGGGTAGCAAAGTGGGGTCAGTCATGGTTGCAGGTATCGAACTGGTTGTCACAGCATCATCCTTTGGGGAGTCCCGCTTTATCCGCCTTCATGCTGAAACTCCTGAAGGAATGTTAGAGAAGAGATTCAGAGCAGCCCTGCGGAGAAGGGCTTGGGGGTGTTGGTCGATGACAAAATGAACATGAGCCAGCTTCAGTGTGCGATAGCAGCCCAGAAAGCCAACCCTGTCCTGGGCTGCATCAAAAGGAGTGTGACCAGCAGGTCGAAGGAGGTGATCCTGCCCCTCTACTCTGCTCTTGTGAGACCTCACCTGGAGCATTGTGTGCAGTTCTGGTGTCCTCAACATAAAAAGGACATGGAACTGTTGGAACAAGTCCAGAGGAGAGCCACGAGGATGGTCAGGGGACTGGAGATAAGCTGAGAAAGTTGGGGCTGTTCAGGCTGGAGAAGAGAAGGCTGTGTGGAGACCTCAGAGCAGCCTTCCAGTATCTGAAGGGGGCCTATAGGGATGCTGAGGAGGGACTCTTCATTAGGGACTGTAGTGACAGGACAAGGGGTAACGGGTTAAAACTTAAACAGGGGAAGTTTAGATTGGATATAAGGAAGAAGTTCTTTACTGTTAGGGTAGTGAAGCACCGGAATGAGTTGCCCAAGGAAGCTGTGAATGCTCCATCCCTGGCGGTGTTCAAGGCCAGGTTGAAGAGCCTTAGGTGACATGGTTTAGTGTGAGGTGTCCCTGCCCATGGCAGGGGGGTTGGAATTGGATGATCTTAAGGTCCTTTCCAACCCTAACTATTCTGTGATTCTATGATTCTGTTATTGAGGACTTTTTGCATCCCGCTGTCCTGTATCACTGAATGAAAAGCTTCAGAAACACTGATCAAAACATCTGCTAGATTTCTACAGGTTTATGTTATATATTGAAGTGCCCATAAATATTTGAAATTCCAGCTCTTAGTGTTTAGCTCATTTTTTCCCTTAATTTTCTCAGCACTGGTAAATTATGTAGTGATCAAATTATTGTTATTTATTAAATTGCTGTTAGGGCGAAAGGATCAAACAATCTAACACATATTCTCTTGCACTCACTTGACACTTAAAACTAGTTAAAAATCACTTTTAGGAGGCTCTGTGTGAGCTCACATGAGCCATGATCATTTGGGAGTGAAGAAAGCTCATCTTTGCAGGTTTCCAGTAAGCTACATGGCTTGAGTGCAGACTATCCATGGTTTTGTATGACTTATA